AAATGTGATTTAGAAGAGTGAAAAAAGAAAATGGTGACCAATTACAGATGTACATTTTTACTTATACATTCATATAAACCTAAATTGGTGTTAATAAAAAAATATGAAAACCTGCAACCTTGGAGTACAACAAAACAGCCTAGCAACATAAACTGACCGTTATTGAAACACTATGCAAAGTGTTCTAATTTTAATTTTATTTTCAACATCTTATATCTAAATAAACCTCCAGAGCACTTAAACAAACACCATTTATTCAGCACAGGACTTATGATCAAGCTATCATTTTACAGCATGTACATATGCTACAAACACCACTGACTTCAGAACAGCATCATACAAAGAAGCTCTGTGATTGAGATGTGGTTGAATCATCAAGCCTGACCCCTACTGGTCTGAACTCACCCTGCACTGTGAAGAGGAAAACCAGCTTCACAAAGTCACCAAGGACAAACAGATTAAATCAGGTTCTGCCAGAATTTGTAAAGATAACAGCAAAAAACAGAGAATAATGAAAATATATGCAAATTAAAGCCACCAGGTATTTTGCCCTGCAGATTAAAATGATCAGGTTATGTTTACACTCGAAGTAGATTGGTCCATCTAAGCGAGATCCCAATTCTGAAAGGGAATGAGGATTATGGCTACACACTTACAAATAAAGGCTCAGTGATTCTTTGTAGCATATTAGATACATCAAAGACCCTTTTCTTATCAAGAACCATTTGTTTTTGCATAGAGTTCTTTAGTTTGCTAAAAGTTCTTGAGGATTCATTATAGGTTCTTCAAATCAGTTTACTGTGTATCACGTGAATTAATTTTTATATTTAATTATACACCAGATTTATATTAAAAGGGAGTGTACATTCTATTCAATATTGTTCTTTGTTTTTTGGTTTTAAATGTCTTATGCTCACCAAGACTAATTTAGTGATTTCCTGTGATGACAAATCTGAATGTAAAGTTGAATAAAATACATGAATGCATGTGGAAATAACGAAAGAATAGCCCACGACTGTCCATGAAACGGCTTTGGAGTCAATTGTCCAATTACTTATTGTCCCTTGAAAAAGGGGGGCGGTACATATTAAAGAGCTGTAATTCCTTAACCTTTCCTCTAACTGTGATGAGAATATCAAGCTCAGAGTGTGCACTTTAAGCTCGTATTCATTATATAACTGTAACTTGAATATGTTTTGGTCAACAGCTAAAATAATACAAATTGTGCCTGTGTCCAAATATATATGGACCTAACTGTATATACAGTGGGTACGGAAAGTATTCAGACCCCCTTAAATTTTTCACTCTTTGTTATATTGCAGCCATTTGCTAAAATCATTTAAGTTAATTTTTTTTCCTCATTAATGTACACACAGCACCCCATATTGACAGAAAAACACAGAATTGTTGACATTTTTGCAGATTTATTAAAAAAGAAAAACTGAAATATCACATGGTCCTAAGTATTCAGACCATTTGCTCAGTATTTAGTAGAAGCACCCTTTTGATCTAATACAGCCATGAGTCTTTTTGGGAAAAATGCAACCTCCTGGAGAGTGTTCTTCTCTTGGCTGGATGTTGTGAAAGGGCTTTTCTTTACCACGGAGAGGATTCTCTGATCGTCCACCACTGTTTCCTCCGTGGACGTCCAGTGCGGTCTTTTTTTCTCAGAACGTACCAACTGTTGATTTGGCCGCTCCTAATGTTCCTGCTATCTCTCTGATGGATCTGTTTTGATTTGGAAGCCTAACAATTGTCTGTTTCACTTGTACTGTATGAAGAGATCCTTTGACTGCATGATGTGGTTCACAGCAACAGCTTCCGAATGCAAATGGCACACTTAGAATCAACTCCAGAACTTGTACCTGCTTAATTGATGTAGAAATAACGAAGGAATAGCCCACATCTGTACATGAAATGGCTTTTGAGTAAACTGTCCAATTACTTATGGTCCCTTGAAAAAGGGGGGCGGTACAGACTCATGGCTGTATTGGATCAAAAGGGTGCTTCTACTAAATACTGCGCAAAGGGTCTGAATACTTAGGACCATGTGATATTTCCGTTTTTCTTTTTTAATAAATCTGCAAAGATGTCAACAATTCTGTGTTTTTCTGTCAATATGGGGTGCTGTGTGTACATTAATGAGGAAAAAAAATTAACTTAAATGATTTTAGCAAATGGCTGCAATATAACAAAGAGTGAAAAATTTAAGGGGGTCTGAATACTTTCCGTACCCACTGTATATAGCATTTTTATCAGGCTCCTATGTGTAGGTTCAGTAATTTCACTTTAATGGCAATGAATAAGTTCTTTTTATTGCCATTAAAGTGAAATAACAGAACATAAACAGGAGCCTAAGAAAAATGCTCATTTTAGAAGAAAATTTCAAATGCCACTTAGAGGAACTTTTGATATTTAATATGTAAAAGTGTGTAGTAATTGAGCATTTAAAATGTCTTGTATTTCTCTGCCAGGTCTTGTAAAATGTCAGTGGTTTTCTAAAAAAAACAAAAAAAACAAGACACTCTTCCAGCAGTGGTATTAAATAACAATAATACTAATACTAATACTAATACTGATAGTGATACTGATACTAATACTGATACTGATACTGATAAAACTGTGTGGTACTGTATGCTTTGAAAAAAAATGTTCCCTGTTAACAATATGTATGTACATATTTAAGTAAGCAATGATAACATTTTTAATGGCTTATTATGAATAATTGTAACTTTTGTTTAGAATATATCTACTTCAAATTCCACTGAAATAATAAACCATCATACCCTTTTTCATACCATTTTCAAAATCCTATGGTTTGGAACTAAAGGGAAGCAACATCTCTCTCTCTCTCTCCACACACACACACACACACACCTCAAAATTGACCAATAAAATTCTCCTATTCCACTTAGCAAAGTATCCAGCACTTTTATAAGCTCAGCACATTCATTTGAAAACACGGTTCTTCAAATCTTTTTCATTGGGTTCTGATTAAACACACTCATTAACAGGTAGCCGAAGGCCGCGGCCAGCCACTTAATGGCTTAACTAAAGAGACGCATGAAAATACACATCTTATAATTACCCAGCGTGCTCCTATTCACACCTCACTAAGTCGAGTGACCGTCTAGCAACTCTTGGCTTTACTAAGCACCTCGCTGGCTGAACGATAGCAGAGGAAAAGCAGTTTACTGGGCTAAATAGCTGCTTTTCTTCCTCAGAGTATTTGAGAATCTTATCGCTGGAATATCCCAAACTCCAATAGATAGCAAAGACGCAGCGGGAGCCTAGCGGACAGCTTAGAGGAAATGAAAACACATCCATCCACAGCTCTATCCTTCCTTTCTGTTCCACTATTCTTCTGCCTGGAGATCAGCCACTCCAGAGATAATGGGGGGAGAGATTTGTATTTATAAAGAAAGAGAGAGAAAAAGAGAAAGAGAGAGAGAGAGAGAGACAAAGACTGTGGCCACGGTCTCTGAATTCAGCTCGTTTATTTGAGTCTGAACGTCCACACAGCACATTCATGCAATCATACTGTCAGACCACACATTTTCAATGGGCTGCTGAATTTCCATAAACTCAAAACTCACACAAACACAATATTGGAAATGCTTTCACAAATAGGGTAAATCAGTGTTCCATTATATTTTAAAGCAATGCATTTAGAGAAAGAATTTGCATATATCCCACAGTGCTCTGTGTTTACAGCATTTCTGTTATGAGAGTGTACTACTGTAAGTACCATTCAAAAAATTTGTTGTCACTAATATTTTTTTAATGCTTTTTTTTCTTTTTCATTTCTTTTTTTAAAAGTCTCTTATCAAAGCAGCATTTAATTTCATCAAGGCTGCATTTATAAAATACAGTAAAACATTTATATTATGAAATATTACCACAATTAAAAATATATACTGTATATTTTCTACTTGAATATATTTTACAATGTAATTTATTCCTGTGATGTAAAGCTGAATTTTCAGCATCATTACTCCAGTCTTCAGTGTCACATGATCCAGAAATAATTCTAATATGCTGATTTGATGTTTTGTGCTGCGTAGTATTTTTGTGTAAACTGTGATTTTTGTTATTATTATGTGTGCTATTGTTAGTATGTGTGTTATTGATATTATTATTTTATAGGGTTTTTATTGGCTTTTTTTTTTTTTTTAGGATTATTGAACAATAGTTTAAAAGAACAGAATTGATTTGAAATATAATTATTTTACAATATTTTATAAATATTTCTTTGCAATTTAATGCATTCTTGTTGAATAAAAGCATTAATTAAAAAAAAAAAAAATACAAAATCTTATTGACCCCAAAGCTAGCTTTATTTAGGCTAAATCTAAAATCCTGTTACTTGAAAACCAATTATCCATTCTTAATGTTTTCATATATTTTAATACTAATTAATTTCATACTAATACGTCATACATATTTAAGACCATTTTTATTTGTATTTTGTATTCTATATTTATGGAAATATTCTCTCAGTAATGTGATCTCTCAGCAGTTCTGTGGATCTGAGATTGACCTTTAACATTGGAGCAAAATGACACACTGACAAAGAGAATCGATCTTACTACAACAGGTGTCTAGGCTGAAGTGTGAACATCACTTTCAAATGATTGCTTTATAATTTAACAACAAACATTTACACCAACACCTCTTAACATTTTACAATCCACTGTCATGAATTTTAACATAGCTCTCACCCATTGGCCCTGACTTGACCCAGTGACCTCTGGACGGTGAAAATGGGGTGTGAAGCATCTCAAATGATTAGGACAGTTTTAACACCCTTACTGCATTTCCATTAATCTGACACTCTGTTCCAGCCTCCTAGATGCTCTGTGGCACTGCAGTATTTGTCAAGAGAACTCTGGGATACAATTGGCCTGACAGTCAGTTCTGACTGGCTAGAGAGGTGACAGAAGCGACGCCACAGACGTGACATGAACAGCTCACGTGATAATGCTGAATGATTCTGGTACCTGTTTTGGTCAGAGGGCTGGAAAACAGCTGCTGCAGGAGTTTGTTCTCTGACGTCCTCAAAACCACCACAATATCTGCAGGAAGAGTGTCCCGGTTCTTCTCCAGAAAACCACTGACATTATACAGCACCTGACAGAGAGACACACTTTTACTTGTGAAACTGCAGGAAATCTTTATATTCTGATACAACAGGGATTGGTGTATTAATTAATTAATTACTGCACTAGTAACTGTTTAACTACGATGTTGATTATATATACACCACAGTTAAAAGTATGGGGTCAGTAACATTTTTAACATTTTATTTTTTAAGAAAATATATTCAGCAATGATGCATTAAATTGATCAAAAGTAGCAGTAAAGATAATCAATCTGGTTACAAAAGATTTCTATTTCAAACTAATTTTGTCCTAAAAACCTAATTTAACCTAAGAGCCTTCAAAAGAACCTATCACAGTTTCTAATAAATAAATGAATAAAAATAGTGAAAATAGTTATACATTTTTAAAAATATTTCATAATATTATTAATATATTATTTTGATCAAATAAATGTAGTCTTGGTGAACATAAGAGACGTTTGCCCCTAAAAACAAAAAACACGTCTCTAGGTTACGTATGTAACCCTAGTTCCCAGAGGGAACGAGACGCTGCGTTGAAACCCTTTGGGAACGCCTTCAGCGTGACCACGCTCTGAATCACTTGTGTAATCAGTCCAATGGAGGGGCGAGACGTCATGGGCGGGGTGACGTAGAGACCAGGGAGCTTAAAAGCACGTGCGGTGGATACAGCGGCAGCTTCTGGTGGAATGAAGGAAGCACTCGCAGGGATGCTGGAAGTATGGCAATGAGACGCAGCATCTCGTTCCCTTGGGGAACTAGGGTTACATACGTAACCTAGAGACGTTCCCCTTCAGAAACTCGAGCTGCGTCGAAACGCTTTGGGAACAAGTATGCCCACGCTGCCAGATTTGCAAGTCCCTGCCTAGTGTGGAAGAGCACAGCTAAGGCGAGAGAAAAAGGAGCCAGGAGTGGCGCAAAATGCAGGTATAGAATCTGACAAGTAAACGGAGTGGATATCCCGCAGCATCCTAAAGGCCAACTTCTGGAGGAGTGAGCCTTGACCCCCAAGGGAGAGGGGAGATCAGAGGACTCAAGGCTATGGATAGCATCCCGATCAACCACTTAGCATAAGCTTCTCCTGGCTGGAGGCCTCAGCCTCAGCGCACCATGGAGGAAACATGTAACTAGTGGGTCTCTCCCGAAAGACCGACCACTGAGAGGGGCGTGGTAAGCAGCTAGGGCCGCCACAGAAACCTTCAAGGTGGAGTGGGATAACCCTGCGGAGAACCGTACCTCCAAGAACTCCAGCACTGAATCAACTGGGCAGTTAACTGGATCGAGCTGGCGGTTGCCGTGCCAAGAAGTGAAGGTTCACTTCAAGGAGTACAGTTTCCTAGTGGAGGGAGCTCTGGACTGGAGTATGGTCTCAGCAACCTCAGTTGAGAGACCAGAACTTATGAGCTGTGCCCCCTCAGGGGCCACATCCACAGTTCCAAAAACTCAGAGAGAGAGGAGATCCCTCCTGACGGAAATCTCCCACGGAGAGCCATCGAGAAGGGAAATCAGACTGGGGCTACCCATCCGGTGCACTCTCTCCAGAACTCCCGGGAGCCGAGCGAATGGGGGAGGCATACAGACAAAACCTCGGCCAAGTCTGTTTCCAGATGAGCTCCACCACCTCGGGGTGGAGCCTCCATCCCCCAGGGGCTCTGGTGAGCGGAGGCCTCAATAACTCTCTGTAGCGAGAGAAGACCTGACGACACTCGCAGAAATGGTCGAGCTCTTGGAGCAGAGGCATCAGCATGACAACTCTCTAAACTGAGAGGAGGCCTAACTACACTCTACACTCCGGACATCTTGTAAGCAGGCTCACCTAGAGCCTACCACTCACAGATGCTGTCCTAGTGGAGCTCTGGCGAGCGGAGGCCTCAATAACTCTCTGTAGCGAGAGGAGACCTGACGACACTCGCAGAAATGGTCGAGCTCTTGGAGCAGAGGCCTCAGCATGTCAACTCCCCAACGAGAGGAGGCCTGACTACAATCCACACTCCGGACATCCTGTAAGCAGGCTCACATAAAACCGCTGTTTTGTCGGTGCACCCAACACACGGTGGCCTCTTAGGTCCGGGAGGAAGTGTTTCAATGCTAGAAACAAGACCAGCATCTCCAGGCAGTAGGTGTGCCACCTGAGCTGGCGGCCGCTCCACAGACCGCGGGCTGGGCGGCCACTCATAACTGCACCCAACCGGTGAGGGAGGCATCCGTCGTTAGCATACGCAATGACAAGGAGTCCCCAACACTGGGATCTTGAGACAAGAACCAAGGCTTTCTCCACATGTCTAAGGCACGAAAGCATCGCCACGTGACCTTGATCATGCGAAGTGGGTTGCCCCTCGGGGAAAACCCCTTGGTCTTGAGCCACCACTGTAGTGGTCTCATGAACAGCAGGCCAAAAGGTATCCCATTGGACGCAGCTGCCATCAGACCCAGCAGTTTCTGAAACTGCTTGACAGTGAGTGACCGGTCTTCTCTCACTCTCGCGACTGCTATGAGGATCGACTCAATCCGAGCAGGAGACAAACATGCCTGCATCGTAATCGAATCCCACACCACGCCCAGATAAGTGGTTCTCTGCAATGGAGAAAGCACACTTTTCTTGGAGTTCAGTCTTAACCCCAGCTCTTTCATATGGGCGAGAACGACATCTCAATGCCGAACCACCGTCTGCTCCGATTGAGCCAATATCAACCAATCGTCGATATAATTCAGTATGCGGATGCCCTGGAGTCGCAGTGGAGCCAGAGCAGCATCCACATACTTGGGGAAAGTGCGGGGTGAGAGTGCAATAAATGGCTGCGAAAGGAAGAACCCGGTATTGAGTATTAACCAATCGTCGATATAATTGAGTATGCGGATGCCCTGGAGTCGCAGTGGAGCCAGAGCAGCATCCACATACTTGGGGAAAGTGCGGGGTGAGAGTGCAGTAAATGGCCGCAAAAGGAAGAACCCGGTATTGGTAAGCTTCGCCCCCAAAGCAAACCTCAGGAACTTCCTGTGTTGAGGAAGGATGGTAAGCATGCGTCTTTCAGATCCATCGTGCGAACCAGTCCTCAGACCTGATCTGAGACACGACCTGATCTAAAATAGGACGCAATCACCCCTGCAGAGAATCGAGCCTGTAGGAACTCCAGCACTGAACCGACCGGGCAGTGAACTGGGTCGAGCTGGCGATCTCCGCACCAAGAAGTGAAAAGTTTCCACTTCAGGGTGTACACCCATCCTTCTTTGGAACAATGAAGTACCGGCTGTATGGTCTCTCTGCGCGAGGAGGGACCACCTCGATGGCCTCCTTCCTCAGGAGAGTGTTTACTTCTGTGAGACATTTGGCAGAAGTCTCCATGTTGCCAGAAAGTCTACTAAGGGAATCAGTCTCTGGAGACTGACCTCTGGTGTACTTAGAGCGGCTAGGTCGGTGCCCTGAAGCGGATAACCGGCAGGGGACGGCCGATCTAGCTGCTCTAGAGACCTCCTTGGAGGTAGCAAGCCTCCCAGAGCCACTACGTTTCCGGGCGGAAGCTGAGAGAAGCGCTCGCTGGAGACCGCTGTGCCCTGCAGCACCGCTGGGTGGTTGTGTACACACACTGGCAGCACACATTTCAGTTCAAACAGCTTGTAAAAGTGCATGTCGCATCCGATGACCCTTTTAAAGTGAATTGAGCTGTTTGCACTCATTTGAATAAGAAGAGTGTGAGTTTTCTATTCATATGAAGCTGTAGGTCCTGCAAATAAAACGGTACATGAGATTTCATGAAATTGTTTTCTCTTTACCTTGCCAGCATAATGCTGGATCCCGAACCAAAGCTCCACACGCTTGGGTGTCCAGAAGTACTTGTTTCTCAGGTTATCCTGAAACTTATCTATATAACAAACACTGAAGGTGAGTGAGGAATCTTATCAAACTGGCCTCTCATCTTAAGATTAAATAAATTATTAAATACAATGCCACTATTCAGTTAAAACTGATTTGCTATTAGCATTATTCTTTACAACAAATGCATGCTGAACATCATGTAAATTATTTTACATGAAGCAGTTGAGCATTACCGACGAGTGTTTGGTCCGTGGCCTGTGGGAAACGGCTCTCCTCATCCAGCAGAGACAGTAAACCCATGGGCTTCTGTAGAAACATGTCCAGAATGGGCCTGTTGTCCTCATATTCCACCAGACTGGCATCAACACCCTCACTTTGATACTCGATCTGAACAAACACACACTTGTTATAAAATACATGATGATGAAACTACATATAAAGATGTACTTAAGTTCTACTTAAGTGGGTCAAAAACAACCGCAACAACTGCAACAGCAACAACAACAACAACAAAAACCTCTAAAGTTCAGCTAATTGCATTTAATATAAATTGTAAACTCTAAAACATTTTCATTTAATTGCAGTTAACTAAAATTAGTCAGAAAACATTACATTATATTCTTTTAAAGTATCTTATTTTTTGTAATAAGCTCTCCTTTTAATAGTATGCTACAGTGTACTTCCTTTTCCCAGTGTGGTAATTATAAAGAAATGCCTTCATTTTGACAAACCCTGCATATCAAAGTTTTCAGCAACACAAGTCTGAATGTGCAAGTGTACTAATTGCTTTTTTTCTGCAAATGAAGTGTACACTGTTAGTTCCATACAAGGTTTGACGATATGATGAATTCTATTAATTATTAAAACAGTTATTTAAAAGCAAAACATAAAGAGTAGAAACAGCCATTTAAAAATGTACTCTTTTTAAGTATACCTAAGTGGCCAATTATTTAATAAATACTATTATCTGCAAGTCCAGTTTAAAAAAGCTTTAAATATTTGAAGTACAATACAAGTATACATTTGATTCAATTAAGTGCATTTCTTTTACGCAAGTGGCAGTCGTGAAACCATGTATTTATTTTTTTGCCATTTAAACTGATACAGATGTATTCAAGGATAAATAGTGGTGGGTTTAAGATCAACTCAAACTCAGAGAAAGTGCACAGAGAAAGTCTCACCTGTTCCAGGGCAAAGATGTGTTGATTGAAGTAGAACTGGATCTGTTCATTAGCGATGTTGATACACAGCTGCTCAAATGAGTTCTTCTTGAAGTTTTCGAAACCAAAGATGTCCAAAATCCCCACGTTCATTCCACTCTCAGCCGCACTTCAAAGACACGAAGAGCCAAATATTATCCGACCGTCACAACACATTTAGGCCTTAAGCACTCTAATGACCCAAACAACTAAATATTTTATGACCTGTCAACCAAGAAAACACAAAAACAAAGAGCTTTAAAAACACAGGTCTGCGTGAGCGTGTCATTTCAGTTTACAAAAAGCTTGGACCCTCGTCTCTGAACATTGAGTCAGTCGCGATCTCCTCCAAACTCCTCAGCCAGTGACCAGGGGTCACCTTCTGCTCCCGCTAACAGGTTATTAGTGGCAATAACGCTGAACGCGCTGCTGATTGGAGTGGAAATGGCAGAATTTGGATGGTGTGTATCGAGGTGGAAGACATGAGTTTCTCTGACAAGCCCGTGGCTGATGTCTGACAGGATTTGCTCGGATCAATGAACGGCTTTTCCACTCTCTCTGAAGTCTTTTTAATCATCTGCATATTATTTTTTCAATGTAACTCGGTATCAAAAATGTATTTAAAAAACTCTTTTCTTCTTTTGCTGTGGATATTAATATTCTGAGCTTTGTGGTGGTTAGACTGGAGGTCATCGCTGGAGATAATGCTCATGCATGTAAACGCATCCGTAACGGAGAGATTCAAGGAGCGAGACTGGTATTAACTTGAGGTAAAAGTCAATCAAATAAATATAATATAATAAATAAATAAAAGGCCATGTGATCGTTCACCCAAAAATCACACATTTATGAAACCTGTATGAGGTTCTTTCTTCTGTTGAAAACAAAGGAAGATATTTTGAAGACTGTTGGTAACCAAACAGTTGCTGGTAGCCATTGACTTCCATAGTATTTTTTCTTCCTGTTATGGAAGTCAATGGCTACCAGCAACTGTTTGGTTAACAACATTCTTCAAAATATCTTCTTTTGTTTGAAAACAACTTGAGGGTGAGTAAATGATGACAAAATGTTCATTTTTGGGCAAACTATCCCTTTTATGACAGTTATTTAAAAATATACTTTTAAGATTCAACATAGGCTACACCAGTGGGTCCCAACCCTGGTCCTGGAGGCACCCCAACACTGCATGTTTTGCATGTCTCCTTAATCAAACACACCTGATTCAGGTCATCAGCTCATTAGTAGAGACTCCAAGACCTGAAATTGGTGTGTCAGAGAAAGGAATGTGCAGTGTTGGGGTGCCTCCAGGACCAGGGTTGGGAATTACTGAGCTACACTACAAGTGCATATATTAAGTGTATTTTTTTTTTCACTGGTTTATGACAGTATTTTCATTTTTGAGTAAACTATTTCTTTAAGAGCATTGTGAAATTTCAGTTCAAATTGGTCTAAAATGGTAGTCTTGGGTGTATTTTAACATTAAAGGGGTCCTATTATGCTCTTTTACAAAGTCTTGATTTGCGAGCTTCAGTGTAAATATTGCGTCAATATCAAATCAATTTGAGTACGATTTAAACCGGGATGATTGTAACCACTCTAAGTTCGTCTGCCTTGGGAAAGCTAGCGTGTCTCCGACATAATGAATGCCTTCTCTAGTGCAGCTCAACCAGGTCTCGTTCCATTTGTCGATATTTGTGATATCACAAATCCCGGAAAATATGCGTTTTAGTCCAAACGATTCGTTCGTTGTAGTTTTTGAAAAGTGATTTCTGTTAAATAAAATATCTCCTTTTGAAGTGGTCTTTGAACTTTGTAACTTTGCAGATCTTTTTTATGCTCAAACAGCAACATCTCAGACTAACTAAAGTTGAAAAAGTGAAAAAGCATAATAGGACCCTATTAAACCGATGGATGCATCCCTGATAATGACTGTAATATTTTATCGTACCAGATGTTAGTGTCAGGCTGCAGCAGTGCATTAATGCGGTTCACTATCCAGCTGAAGAGGCGTCCGTACAGGGCTTTAGACATGGCGTCTCTCACATCAGTGGCCTTGTCCACAGTGTTGGTGCGAATGATGGTTTCTCCTCGAGTTACCACGCAGTGGGAGGTCAAAGCTTCCTGAAGCTCCTCAGAGCCGATACTGAGCAGAGCGGCCGCTGAACACAGCAGATACAGATAGAAGAACATCAGGAATGGACCTATGCCTCTCATCTTTTGCCTTTCATAAGTCAGTTTGTTTCTAACACATCCGTGAGATTTATTTAATTAGAAGAATGTGGTTTCTGTAGATGCAAAACAAGAAACTAACATTCATGAAATATAACATCTCTGAAAGGTTTTAAATACTAAATATAAAAGCATCAATAATTCATCCATCTTGAACATATCAACGCTGACCAAAGGCAAACGACACGGTTTGTCCAATCAATGTATTACCCCATCGATTTCTGCTGTCATTGGTCAGTGCTTGTTTTCGCCAGCTGAACATGTTTTGGTGTTCGTAGGGCCGTTGAATGTATGAGAAGTGACATACTGCAATGTGATGATTGTCAAAGTTGTTCTGTGTTTGTCAGTGCAGTGTGAATTAGCCTTTAAACAACCAAATTAGCAAATTTCTCTACTGTTGTATCTGTAATCTAACATTTGAAATACAGTATTTCAAAACATTATATTCCAGGTTTAACTACCCTAGTAAAAAATGAATATATATTAAAATTCACATCGTACCTAACAACGCCCCTTAGCTGTTATAAATTCACTGTAAACCACGGCTTCTTGGGCTTATTGCTTTATTATGTCATACTAAGTATAGTTCAAATCTATTAATATATTTACTAACATATCACTTGAGTCTTACTGATATAAAAATTATAATTAAACTTTATTTGGAGTACTACTTGTGCACAATGCACATTTCTTAATATTAAGCCTAAAATGTGTTTTAATGTCACTGTTGATGAGGATGATATGATCTTTGAATAATATCAGTCTTTAAATGCAAGATTTTTAAAGTGTACCTGAAGTATCCTTGCAATAGTTCCACTTACTGTATATATACTTCAGCATATCTTTAGTTGGACTTCAGCACTACTTCTGCACAATTAAAGCTCATCAAGCACAACATTAGTTGTTCCAATTCAGCAGACTTTAAGTATACCAGTTTAGTATACTAAAAAGTATTGTAAGGTATTTTTATTGAGCACATAAATTTGTAGCATACTTACATATATTCCAAATACATTTTATTTTTCACTAGGGTAGTAATGGGACAATGTAGTGACCTGTAGGTCTCAGATATTTGCATTCATAGAAGATTCAGAGTGTTTCTAATATTCTCTGTATTCAGGTTAATTATACCGGCAATTGACAAGTGGCAACAAACTAACTTCCATCCTAACTAGTCAACAAATAAATAAATACATAAAACATGACTGAGTGATTATACAACAGAGGCCTGTTAAGGGTAAGCCAATTAAATGCATTCAAGGAGATTGTTTATTGTGTTATGATATATTTTACATTATTCACTAAGCTATTTTTGTATTTAATCATTTTATTAAGGCTCTTACCATTATCTAAGGCCTCAGAGTCGGGCACCTCACTCTTGTCGCTCTGATGTTGGGAGCTGGTGGATGTAAACTCAATATTTCCTGTGTTTAAAATGCCTGATAGAATTCTGTACACAGAATTCACTTCCTGTATATAAAAATATAAATCACTGGGGGTGAACTATCCCTTTAATAATTGTATAGGATTAATAAATATAAATCAGAATTCCAGCTGTACCTCTTCAGTAAATCCTATGATACGGAAACAGTCCTGAATGGCGTCAAACTGCTCCTCGTAGAGTTTGCTAGAGATGATGTCCTGCATTACTTTACCATTGACACAGTCGATGTATCTGAAAGAACAGAAACGTAACGTGAATCTCTGATCTCTGTCAGTGACACACATGATCTGGATTCAGAAATACACATCTTTATAAGAGTCTGTTTCACTTCAAATAAACACACAAACCTGGGGGCAGTTTTGTTAGGTAGCCTGTATTTCTTGAGGTTGTCTTGGTGGTAAAGACCAGCATAGATGTAGTAAAATATATGGAAGTTTTTCTCGCCCCTGCAAATTAAAAATATAAGCTGTGAATAGTAATTATTGTTAAAAATGGCCACAGATCTAGGCACAGTGATTCCTCACGTAGCCTGTTTGATGACTCTTGATTTCTCCAGAAGATACTCAGAGATCTTTGCACCCATCACGGCCCCTGTAGGTGTGAACTTCATCTCCAGATATTTCCCGAAGCGGCTGGAGTTATCGTTAATGGCTGTGCACGCGTTACCAAACGCCTCCACCAGGGGATTCACCTGAAGAATCTTCTCACGAAGTGTTCGATTATTAGCCTTGAAATAGAACAGAGTGTGACCCAGATTTTTGATCTGCGAATCTTACAGCCACAGATGATTACATCACTACAGGGAAAATGAACAGGAATCTCATGATAAAACACAAAGATTGGTTACTGAAACATTTCTTTAGAGCACACACAGTAGTGTTTGTATGAAGTGTGTTAGCTACAGTATGAGTACCCAACCTTGCCCAGAAATGTGAGATGCTGGACGATGAGGTGGGCACTCTCGGTTTTACCCGCTCCACTTTCTCCACTAATGATTATACACTGCACAGACAAAACAATAAAAATATATAAACACTCATTCCACATAGATACACAGAAGCACCAATAATAAGATGTTTATTTTTTATTTTTATATATTTATTTACAGTAGTCAACATTTGAAGCGGATCAATAAAAGTTCATCAAAGTTTTAGGACAACTTTGATGAAAGGTTTCGATCCACTTCAAATGCTGACTACTGTATTTGTATATTGATGTATATTTTTATTTACTTTTATTTATTTATTTTTTATTTTGCTAGACATGCAATTGGAAGAAAATATATGAAAAAAGCTAACCATTGTATATTCAAAAAATAAATAATATCTCAACTATACCACAGAATATTATTAGACGAAATGCAAAACAATATAATTTGAGATCTGATAGAAATCTGGAAATTTGGTAGACATCTGCTTCATAAAAATAAAAGAAAAAAGACAATTCTCCTTTCATGCATCTACATTACAATTCAAAAGTTTGGGGTCGGTAAGGTTAATGTTCAGACTGCATTTATTTGAAATAGATTTTTTTTAACATTGTACTTTTTGATTAATCTTATGTGTCCTTGCTGAATAAAAAGATTAATTTTTGTCTCTCTCAAATTCTCTATTCTTTTTATATTATTTTTATTTATTATGCAATTAACAAAAAACAAAAAAGGCCTCCAACACTAGCTTGCTCTATTCTTTTTCTATTCTATCTGTTTTCTTTTTTTTATTATATAATAAAAAACCCTTGCTACTTGTACTGCGTTAAGCTAACTGAGACTTGTCTTAGTACTTGCGTATCATTGCTCTTTTGTTGATTTTGATTGCTTCTATTGTCCTCATTTGTAAGTCGCTTTGGATAAAAGCGTCTGCTAAATAACTAAATGTAAATGTAAAATTAAATCTGAACTCGTATCTAAACATTCATTCATTCATTCATTCATTCATTCATTCAATGGGGGCCTTCAGGTTCATGGGAAAATTAAACGTTTTTTGGTAGGTTAAAGTTTGTAGGTTAAATGTGATCCTAGTCATCTTTTTCTAGAAAGGATGGATGGTGAGCATTTTTGGAGCACTTCTTGGAAAGTGAGCATGCTGTGTCCGTGTGAATTTCCTGCCCGTAAAAATGCTTCAGTATCATGTAAGAATCGGAGCTGGTAGTATAACATAAATGACTAAATGTAAATGTAAATAAACTAGTGTGAACACGGTTTAAAGAGAAAGAGACCACTGGTGAACCCCACATAAATATTTAAAACCATATTTAAAGTCAGTCTACTATGTCTCTGAACCGTATATATCTTAGATATACTCTTTATTGTTTTAGGAATGAGAGTGCAGACACACAGAAAGCAGTACCTGGTCTTTGGAGAGGGTGACCATGCTCTGATAGGCTGCATCAGCGGTGGCAAAGATGTGTGGGGGGTTAGTGGAGCGTTTCATCCCGTGATAAAGCTTTGAGAACTGAGAACAGACACGAAACTACATCTTAGTTCTCTCTCTACAAGGAAGCTTTGATTCAGAAAGCCAACTTGAAGTGTATGGCGTTATTTTAATGACAAATGTCGAGAGCGCATTATTGTAGCGTGAAAGCACATTAATATAATGTGCGAGCGCGAATCTCTTCGCTCGCGGGCTGAGAAAACGTGTCTCTCCTCTCACTCAAACTGTGTCCTGTGCACTCGCAAATCTCTCTGTGCTCATGCTCTATAGATATTAATTATTTTCGCACCTGAATTAAACGTGTCAAATTGTCAAAAGTTATCATTATGCACATATTATCAAAATCAGAACTGAAAACAAACACTGGATTTAAAAAAAAAAAACTCCCAATAAATGTCCAAACAGCGATGCTATTAGAGCATTTATTGTATTATATCTTGCATCATTTACATCTATGTTTGCATTTGATGTTGATTTGAGGAGTCGTTACTTATGTAGCGTCTGGACCAATCAGACACACCATTTGTCATTTGATTTAACAAATCAATTATTCATAATCCTGAGGGCGAGGCAAACGGGGAATCCACAAGACGAGCTAGAGTCCAGGCGAGGTGCAAACACAGTCCGAAACAGCAAGGCAAAGGGTAATTCCAGAACAGGCTATAAATTTCAGGGCAGGCAGAGATCAGACAAAACGAGATAACAATCAAGGATAAAGACACGGGTAAACAGACTAAGAACAAGGCTATACTAGATTAAGATGAGAGTCAATGTAACGGAAGGGTGACCTCTGGTGGCGATCGAACGGAAGTCCATGGACCGGATTCGTGACAACAACAAAAAAAAATCAAGGAAAGGCCATGCACAAATCTGTTTTGAGACTACTTTTTAAAAGTGCATAATGATAACTTTTGACAACGTTTAATTCAGG